TGACGGATCTTCTCAAGTGTGTCATGAAGAATGCACACTGTGCACTCAACGTGAGACGTCCTAACTGTGTATGGATCTCTGAGGCATCGATCAGCTTGATCTATGCATGGAAACAGGTTCCGATGGGCTCTATGTTTTAGCTTGTCGGCAACTCCCTTAAACGACATCTGACAAGAAGTCTTCGAGTTGACGGTAAACGTTGGTGGATGGCAAGCACCTGTGAGATGGAGAAAGCCAGTGCTATTGGGAACAGATGAGTGCTATTCCAGCTCATCCGGAACACAGGTACGAGAAAGGTAAGGATTAGCGAGACAATAGCTGAGAAAGACGGACAGTTGATCCATTCACAGCGTCATCGACTGGCTCGTTGGAGGGAACATTTTGAAGAGCAGTTCAGCAAGCCTGCCGCGACACTGCCGCTTGCCGAATCACCTAAGCCTACGTGGGAAGCTGATATCACACCTCCAGCTTCGAAAGAGATTCAACCCGAGCTTTCCGTGTTAAAATGAAACAAGGCTCCTGGACCTGACGAGCTTCTGCCATCCTTCCTGAAAGCTGATGGTGACTCCTTGTTGACTGGACTCGCTTCTGTTTTGAACATAATATGGTACACTGAAGAAGTGCCTTCAGACTGGCGATTGTCAACTGCTGTGCCTTTCATCAAGAACGGTCAGCGTTCTTTGGGTGAAAATCATCGGGGCATTAGTCCTGTTTCCGTTGCCTACAAACTTCTCACGAATATCATGCTCAAACAATTTTCTAGTCGTTGTGAGAACCGAATCACTGAAAACCAAGCAAGTTCCCACTCTGGTCGCGGTTACATCGACCACATATTTAGTTTCCGCCAAATTTTAGAGCAGAGGCACACATACAGACGACCAATTATGACCGCTTTTCTTGGCTCGAAAGCCGCCTTCGACTCTATTGATCGAGCCGGCTTGTGGCACTGCCTATCGATGAAGAACGTGCCGGCCAAATTCCTTTGCATTATGCAGTCTCTCTGTCATGACACGTGACGCCGTGTAATGGTCTACGGGAAACTCGCCCCTGAGTCCCCCCACTAAAAGTGGGGTTTGCCCGTGTAGTCCTATATCTCATTTTCCTTTTCAACTTTAGCATCGAAATGATCATGAGCGACTCCGTTCCTTCAGAAGCAACCGGAATAGATGTTTTGCCAGGTGACCTGGCCAGTTCACGGCCGTGTTTGACCACCGGTGCTTGCGGAGTATTGCTCACGTCTGGTGGGAACACCGGGTGAGCAATGTCGAGGTCCGCCAGTTGGTATTTTAGCAAAAAGTACCTCCTGGTGCCTCACTCGAGTGTTTGCTACATCTTAATCGTTTACGTTGGCTAAGCCATGTCCTCCGTATGCCCGTTGACCGGCTTCCTCGGCGTGCGTTATACGCCGTGGCTGCACCAAGTTGGGCGAAACCGCGAGGTGGCCAGTCCATGACGTGGCATAGAGGCATGAATAAATTGTCTGAGAGACTTGGTCAGGCTGGTGTGTGCCGTCTTCGTGGATGGTGGCCTCGGGATGGTCCACACCAGTGGTTAGAGACCGTATCAGGCATGGCGCAGTCGCGCAGTCAGTGACGTTCTTGCAACTGGTTTTTAATTTTCGTTCCATTCTGATTAGTTTAGTCCACTTCTTCCATTTGATTTACATTCGATTTGCATTCAACTCCATTATTTTGCCGCTGTTATTTGTTGTTATTCTTGCGATGTGAGTCGTGGCAACTGGATGCACCACACTTCGGTGCTCGGATCTTACTTGGTCGATTAAACTGAACTGAACCTCATCCAGCTCTCGCTGCCGTACAGGAGAACGGACAACGCCATGGACTGGTACATCATCAGCTTCGTCCCAATGGTCAGCTGGGGATTCTTCCATATCTGATTTTCCTGCTTGCCAAATGCAACAGCCCGCCTCGATATGCAGATGAGCAGCTCGCTTGTCATTTGGAGATCGGTGGAGAGTACTCACTCGATATATCAACATCTCGACGAGTTCTCCAAAGCGTTTACAGCAATCTGGTTTCGTGGCAGGCCAACGGATCCCATTCCTGGTGACGACTGGAAAAGGGAAACATAAACGCTTGTGTTGATGGTTATGTATATATATATATATATATATATATATATATATATATATATATATATATATATATCCCCGGTGTGGCTGCGCTTGATGTGCATGTTGACAAGGTGCCTAACTGTCTATTACCCACTACCTCGTCCATACTGGCTCCAGGAGACAGTTGGTCGTTGCTGGAGGGGACGGGGTGCACGGTCCTTGTGGCCGTGCTAGGCTCAAAGAGCGGTTCCATGCACTCAGTGTGGAGCGGACTACGGTCCAGCCACCGCCTTGTGTGCGCTTGATTCCCAAATACAGTGTGCTTGTGTTTGTCTGTGAAGGAGTGTGGGCCGACTCCGTTGATGAAACGTGGCTCCCATCCACGTGCCTCCCGGTCTTATTCCTTCGGGTTTACACTGGATATGGGGTGTGTGGATGGAGCTGTGGGTGGTGCAGCGCAAACCACCCGTGGTCCCTCTGTAGGCGCAGGCGTCCTGTGGCTTGCCACAGTGACAGGCAAATCCGAAACCGGGTGCCGCCAACCATATATATGCTTGAGCCAAATGGCTCAAAATACACAAATCAAACGTCAGTGTGCGAAATAGGTAGGGCGCATCGATCGCATTTGTTAAACTGCGCCGAACGGCAGATATCTTCGTAACTTGTGCCTGTTAGTTGAAGGCTAGGAACTCACACGCCTCATCATCTCGGAGGCAAGCACTTAAAGCGGTTAACTGAATTATTGGTGCTTGCAAATAGTATAATCATGAAACGAACCTGTTTATATTTTTGTGATCATTTCACACAGAATCACTAACTGTCGTTTGAAACAGCAAACTGATTACATTTGATATTCAATTTTGACGTGCTCGTAACATCCTGAAAGATCGTTACTTCGGGTTTTAGGATTGATTGGAGGCGTTGGTGGGTGATTAATTGATACAAGACTGCAACTGGTGGGAATAGTCAGCAATATCTTAGCGTATCCGGAATAAGATCTAACAACACCCTCAGTTAGTGAGGCAACCGCTGAGAAAGTTACACTATCCATCCATCTTCAGACACCCTAACTGGAGCTTGGCCGAAACATAACAGATCCGATCAGCAGGCTTGTTGTAACACTGCCATGTGCTGAATTACCTCAGGTAGAGTGACACGTTGATCTCGCATCTGCTTCTCGGGAAAGATGCGACGCCAGCTTTCTGAGTGGAAACAAAACGTACATCTTGGACTCGATAACCTTATTCCATCTTTTCTGCAAGATGGATAATAATCACTGGTCTCTGAACCACTCGTTCTTTTTTAACCATGTGGGACACTTGGTTAATTGGAGTGTCAGTGTTGGACTACGTCTTGTGTGGTTGGGTTGCGACGCGCAATCTCAATGTGGACCGCGATTCACATTGTTGTGAACCTTGGTCACTGCGATCACTGGGACCGTACTCAAAGCAGATGGAAATTGGGTGTTGCCAACCCAAAATCACTGAAGTGTTTTCGGTCGGGCAACACCCATTTTCCATGTGGGACACTGTTTATGTGCCCCTACGCCCATGATTGTCAGCCACCACCTCCCTCTTTAAGAGAGACCACAGTGCTCTGCAAAATTTACCTAGGCACCGACTTTATTGCACTGCCTCGGAACTTTTTATAGACATCTGATTAGTACGCTTTAGTAAATGCTGTGCGGTTGGAATTGGCGGAAGCCATGTTCCCTTTCGCCAATGATATGCCCAACACGGTGTTCCTTAACTCGGAAGCCACTTTATCCAGATTATCATGCCAGCGTGACACTACTCATGGCTGAACAGTGTGTCAATGAAACTCCTTTCTGTTCGGAATTCTCTAACGCGGCTCCCGAGACCGTTTTAAAGGCTACGGTAAGTTGTCTCATGATGTCCTGACGAAAAGCAGGGAGCACCAGTGTTGTGCCTACATCTCTTTTCCCTTCCAGGTTTACGACTGGAATTATCATTCACGACGCTATGTTTTATGTTTTCTCTGGAGTGATAGATCCAGTGGGTGACCGATTGACATACTTGGAGCACGCGGATGTCATGGTTCTCATTGAGTCGAACTCCCCTATGTACGCATACTTGTATATGATATATCAGGAGCTACACAGTTCACAAGTGCTTCGCAGATTCCAAATGCAAATCTCTGTTACGCCATGAGCACTAGCTACCATTCAGCGATCACTCTACAATGATGATAATGTGACATCTGGACGCCGGAGACTTGCACTGTCGCTTCACTGCCACGGAGCCACCGGAGGCTGCGTACCGGTTGGGATATTGTGTGATGTCCCTCACCCTTACAGATCCAAACGACTACTAGTGAACTGTAAGCCCAACACTTGAGCTACTCCACGACCCGGACACAACCATTTGAAGTGGTCTTTCGGTTCACTTGTATCAGTTGATCACAACACATATCATCAATGCTGGTGGAGTTTTACAATACCTCAGGTGTCTATGGAAACGCATCTCAGTCAATAGTAGGATTACAACTTGGCATCACTATCGGTGATATTGTTGTATCCGAAAATGACTAATTCGTACCAAGAGTTTACCAGACTGAGCATCTTAGATCTCCGTTGTTTGCTGAGTCAGATCACTATTTGATCGTGGTCTGCGTTTGGATATCATCTACCTAGCTGCGCATGTTGACCATCGTCAGTAGACCCATTTTTACTGTGGTCTTTTCTAAGGTTCTGTCTAATCTACTCATTTGTTCGACAGTTACCCGATTATATGTACTTCTCCGTTACCAGACACAGATGATGTATAACGGGGTGCAACGACGAAATGCTTAATTGGTCCGTCTATCTCAACTATGACTTGCCCTGTTCCTATCTGATTTAACTTCGTTACCTCAACGGACCACTTGATTCATGCATTTTTTTACTCATCACTTGTTTGGGACATAGGGCTTCTTTCGCCGCACCGTGCTCTCCAACGTTCGTCTCGAGTGTCTCAGCAACAATGACTGCCCAATCACGCCAGCAAATAGGAACATGTGCAAAAGCTGTCGCTTTCGGCGTTGTCTCGCAGTCGGTATGTCCAAATCGGGTAAGTATTTTGTACCAACTGCAGCGCCTCCTTTCCTCTCCCCTTCATTTTTTATTATCCAAGTTTACTTTGTCGACTCTGTGGATTGGTGTACTTACATATATCGTCTGTTTATTCCATCATATTCTACTGTTCTTCCTGAGTATCCCCACAAGCTGCATGATCTATTTATGTGGCACCTCTGCTGTATCCCAGCCGCTTCCGGTTGCATCACAATGAAGCATTGTCACAGACTACTGGTTCAGTACTGAATCCCAATAAACACCCACGAGTACTTGCAAACAGATCTCCCTTCATCTTTTATTTCTATCGGGCTAACGTGTCTCCGTCGTCGTCGTCATAATGAAGTGCATTGTACGTTGCAATTTCCATCATGACTTCCCTGGCTAGGTCAATCACCTGTACAATGAGCATGGGCACGTTGTTGGCTCGAAGCTCAGAAAAAGGTGGCGTGGCATGCGTTTCAGTGTGGGAACTGTGTGCAAATCTACCTGATTCTATAATTGGTTCTACAGCTGACCGAAAGCGGTGGTGAGTGGGGATGGACAAGAAAAGGAGGAGGCCGGCGCCATTAAGGACACCAGAGTGTTGTTGCAACTCGTGCGACGCACGTGTCCAAGAAAGGTTCCCGGAAGTAAAGCAATAAGCGTAGTAAATGAACAACTGATTCATTCAACCATTCCGACTAGATCGCTTTGCTGAGCACTTCAACCGGTCTGGTGTTGGCTAGGCCAAGTGAAACCACTTGAGAAGTTGATTTAACAAGTCTTACCATTGGCGAGATTCAACATGAGCTGGTACTGCATAAGTGAACTAAATTGCTTGGCCCAAACAACCCTCCGCCGTCATTGCTGGAAAACGATGGCTGCGTTGGCATGTTTGCTCGACATGTTTAGGAACAAAGAGGAGGGGTTTGGTTGTCATTTCAATCCTTACGTGTTGGTATCAGTTTTACCACAGTTATTTACAAAATATTGGAGAGCTCATCTTTCTACGTTATCTCACTGCTCCTCATAAGATAGGAATCAGTGAAAGGTCGACCGACTTTTACTCATGCACAAGATATCTTGCCCTAACATTACTATACCTACAACTAACCCATAATGACATTCTTTGAATTGAAGACCGTTTCTGATTCGGTTGTTTGTACATACTTATGGCGATGCACAACCCATAAAAGTGTACCTGAGAATTTTGCCTCTGTTCTTAGTTCCCTTTCTCACGACTCCCTTGTGCCGTGTAAGAGACTATGGGAAACTCTCTCCTGACTTCATCGCAAGTGCAATGCTTCATGGTTGCCCCCTCCGTCTCTCAGCGTTTTGATCGAAATGATCACGTTTTCGACTATCCGGTACTTTGTAACCCCCCATTCTACAGCCAATGTTTACTGTTGCACTGCAGTGTGTATGCACGTTGTATGCCGGGGTTGTTGGACACATTTCACTCGCTGTTCTGGGTTGAATCGATGAACTGCCTCACTTGTGTGCACATGTCCCTCTGCTTACATGCATCACCGATGTTATCTCATTGGTTTCGTCGCGGTTATCGAAATAAACCCGCTGTCGCCTTCGGCTTCTGACTTCTTCCATCCCACCAGGCGCCATCGTTTCGAGCAGACGAGGGTTGTAACACGACAGAGCGCTTATCTGTCCTGTGCATTGCTTTCTAGCTTTGCATACTACGGATCTATTTTATTTTATTTCATTGGCAATACCATTCGATACTTTGCTGCGCAATTTACGCACTTTATTATTTAGATTTGCTTGGTCTAGATACTTTGACATGCCTTTGTTTCACACTATCTACTATAAGTACTTAACCATTTGAGTGCGAGAACATAAGGTACCAACCACTCTGCTATTTCTGTCTCAACTATTTTTATGCTCCACACCTTCATGGGTTTTGCCACTCGGTTGTAAGCTGTTTGTCAAAAATTCCATCTTTATTATTACTTCGTTTCTGTTGCTAAATATTGCCCCCTATACAGGTAGTCGCATTGGCCGTCAACCGAACGCTATCAAATATTACTGTGCGCGTGAAATTTCCCAGCTCGCTGGCTCCACACATGATCTCGATAGCACACAGTTGAGTTGTGCTGCCTCTTCGGTATCGAGTAGTCGATCTGCAGGACCGGATGCTGCCAGACACAGTGTCTCCACGATTCCATCAGTTGGCGAAAAGTGTTCATCGCCTGCGGCCACATTTACCCCTTCTTGGGCTGCTTCTGGATCGATGGATAGGTCTGTTCAACCAGCCCAATCGTCATCTGATCCATCATCTGGCTTCACCCATTTGTACGGTCGCAACGGCCAGTTTTCTACCCTGAGCCGTACTTCTTCGAAATCCGCTCACCTTGGTAATACCGATTCAGTTCGACTACAAGCGAGTAGTTTTGCTCAGAGTTCGGTGCGGTGCTCCTCTTTGGACCCTGACCTGTATCCCCCAGATAACGGTCCGGAATCAGTGAGCTCAAAGAAACGCAGGCCCGCTGATCACTGCACCGGGAGTCACACGGATGAGTCCACCATGGACACTATTTCTCCCCATTGTGACTCGGATGGTGGTCGCAACAAATATAGCCCATCCTCCTGTTTATCATTTGGCGAACCGGATAGTCAAAACCGGGGACTGAACAATTGTCCAGGACCACGAGGGTGGTGAGTACTAATTTAGTGTCTCAGCCACCATATTGTGCTTTGCAGCCTCAACTGCATCTCTGTTGCAAAATATGTAGGCATATCTTATTGTTTTGGTCCTCCACGTAACTCTTTGAGTCCGGACGCATTTCCATCCGTCTTATTATCCACTTTCGGATTTTACACTTTCTGTTTATCTGATTCCATCCGTTTCGGCGAATTGGGTACCTTTTATTACTTCGGTAGACTTCGACAGACCCCCGATATGTAAGCACACAGGTTAACTATCGCTGCGTTTCACACTGCGTTTGACTGTTTGTTCGCATATGATTAGATCGTTAGCTTTCATCATACATCTCCCCTCACGGGTCGTATACATCTGCTTTGACTGGTCTTGTTTTTTCGCAGGACAACCGTGGGAAACTCACAAGACCGTAATGGTCGACCCCACAACACTCCAACGCATTCAGTATCGCACAGATCAACACCGTTGGAATATTCGTTACCGAATCCGGATATCACCAACCAAATATCGTCCACGACTCCCATCCACGATCGGCGCTCCTCCGTCTCTTCCGGATCTGCAGAAGATATACTCATCAATTCATCAGGACAGCTATTAGCCCCACTGTCTCTCTACCTCCCCATGGACGAGTCTTGTCCAGAAAATGCTCGATTTCAGTTTAAATTGTTTTCCTGCTCTGGAGACGCAGTTCAGCAGCGGAAGGAGCCCCCATCTTCCACTTACGCCTTCTACCCTACATCTGTTAAGGAGCAGGCCACTCTGCACCATTTTAGACAGCCTTGTCGCACTCAGTTGGACCCAGATGCGTCACCTCGCCAGCTCTCCCCCATGCCTTCCACAGTTTTATCTGCATCTCCTGTTCCTCAGGGCCCGGGGCCAGGTTTCAATGACACTGATTTCATACTGTCAGATACAGCCTCCCCCTCCCGCACCACTCGGAGCATAGTAGATCAACTTACCTCCACTGTCCTCCAATTTCGCAACCATCAACAGCAGCAGCGGATGATGAATTCCGTTTTAACTGCGTACGTAGCTCCTTCTCGGCAATCAACATTTTTGTCTTTCCGCTGTACAGTCAGTGTTCCAAGTTGGCATTTTTTTAAACAGTCGCCGGTTATGAATTGTCGATTTACCACCGCTTTATTGTAAATTAAATAACTGGATTTGTTTAGTTTGCATATCTTTCATTTATCTACCCACATATACTCTCTTAACATGTAGCTGCTCTACTTCCAGAGCATAGGTTAGTCTGGGAATCTAACCTCCGTTTCTCTTATGCCACACAGCTGTTTTCCATCCCACTTAATCCCTTGTGGGCTATGACGTCATCGTTGTTTGTTTTCTGACACATTAGCACCACGGCATATTGTTTATTTACCAGTCAACTAAACCTTCTCAGGGATCCAGCGCTTTACGAATACATTTTTGCATCATAGAAAGACCTCCGTTCGATTTCTGGCTACTGTTCGGTATCTCATCTTTTCTCCTTATCTCTTTCAGGGATTTAACGTGTGATTCCTCTCTGTCATCCACCGATGCTCCCGATCCTTCCTGCGCTGTGATGAGAGCCACGTGTTCATCGCCGCCTGAAATACGTCAACCCAGAGGTCAACCGTTTTCTCGCTCTCATCGATCCTCGTTACATTCCGACACAATGTCACTGTCTTCGACTCCTCCTGCACGTACTCCTACTCAATCTGGCCTCTCGTCCTATCCAATATCACCATCCTGCAAGTCGACATCACCTGAGTTGTCATGGGACGCAAAGACTCAACAACATCTTTATCAACAGCAACAGCGCTTTATAAAATCAAACAATCGCTGCTCTTCAAACGAGTCAAACTTCCTCTCTTCGGTAAATAAGTATGATCTCATTTCTATGAATGGGAATAATAGTTCGACCGTTGATCCCAACATATGCCAAGTAGTTGGCTCTCCCTCGACTTCGTCGGCATCGTGGTTCGCTGCTGCAGCCGCCGCAGCTGCAGTTGCCAACGCACTAATGGCTGCCACCCAAACAGCGCCTAATCAAAATCCCACTCCCGGTGGTTGTGGTGATGTATACACAGTGTTGTCCAAATCGAGGGGCCATGAACGATTGTCTTCCAGAGACAACGATCTTCAATGCTCTTCTTCCGAAAGATTTCGGATTGTGCACTCAACGAATTCAAGTTTAACTAAGGTATACCAAAGATTAAATGCTTCGTTTTTCTTTTCTTCGAACATCTTTGCTTTCTACTATGCTCAAAGTATTGCTTGTATAGTGACTTTTTTTACTAGACTGGAAGTCGCGTCAACAGTGCCTACAATGCATGCACTTGTTCCCCAACAGAATTTGTTGAGGTCGCAATCAATGTTCCCATTGTCTGGGTACCGATAATTCCTCGAGTTAGTGAATGATTTAATGAAACACTCGTTCTTACCATGTATTACTCCTATTGTATGCTTAAAGTATTTGGTGGTATGCAAATGTTGGCCGTTTTCTTTCCTTTGTATAGCGTTCAAAAGTGGGCTCTTCAGATGCCGTGCATGACTCCCCGGCTACCACCATCGGGCAAGGTTTGGGCACAATGTACGGACTGAAGTTGGGAAGATGCACCGCTCCCAGCGGCAGCGCTGTTCTTCGCTCCCTCAATTTACCTACTTCGGGTGTGGACCTATTACCCTCATCATCAGCTCCCAATCTAGCAGCCGCGGCTGTAGCTGCTGCAGCTGCTGCTGCCACCGCGGCTGGAATAGTTCTGTCTGGTAGTCGTGTATGCACCAGAATACCCCCAGAGGATTTCTCTCATCTCCGCCGTTCTCCAGACGCCGTGTTCCCATCCTACTCTGATTCTCCCATCACCTCATCCCCTTCCCCGCCATGTAGCTCTAACTCGCAGACACATCCAACCACCACAGATTCCTTGTGTGTGGATCGCACTGGTCATCTCTTCCCAAGTTATCTCCCTGGAACTTGTGACGCAATCCGTCGTCCATTGGGTTCAGTTGAACCGACTCCATCGGTTAATCTCCATGTGACTTGTAAGGAAGTCAATGCCAGGATTCGTCCAAGAAATGGGATGCGAGCTGTACGTCATCCAGTGTTGTTTGGTGTTTGTAACGCCATTCTCATAAATGCGCCTCGATTTCAGTTCGCTAATTTTTGCTTAACTAACGACAGTATCACAATACGGAGTCCTGATTGCTCTGGTATTCCAAAGTCTCCTGAGTGTAGCTTCTATCCTTTGAATCTAGCACCTTCTTCGGTCAACTAGAGCAATCAGACAGTCTCATGACGTTACGATGGTGTTGCTGTGCACTGGAGGTTCATGCAAGACCACAACAGTGAGCACAGTAGTTGTTGATTTTATTAAAATCACCTGTTATGTGAATGAATTCTCGGCGGCGATTTTTTTTTTACTATGAACACCGGCTGTTTCAGTCACTGAAGGCGCATGCGATGCAGATAAGTTCCGGATGGTGCCTGCTGTTAACAGCACTCCATAATCTGTTTCATGCATTCTTAGGGAGGGGATAATCGAACTGGGGACCGAACCTGTGGAGCAAGCAAATCGGCATTCACACCTTCACCACTGTATCACCGAGCCCACTTGTATTTTCCTCCTTACGCTTGGCTGGATCAGCTACTTTCGGTTAACGTCTGTTAGGTTCTTTGTATGCTTTCTTTCGGTCACAGGTTACTGTTTAACTAAGTTGTTTAAACCTCATTAGTCAGCTCGAGCTCCGTGCAAACATGACTCGTGAGCAAGAGAACCAGATTTTCCATGGCCGCCATTGTTGCATAGAGTTATGAGGATGCACCAAGTTGTTCAGCTGTTTATGGTAGTTGTCTAGTGCGTCCTTCTGTTGAGTTAAAATTAGCAAACGGTCAACAATCTACTATTTCCTGTTTTTACTCTGTCTGCACGCTGCCTCGAACCGAAATGTGGTCCATAGTTGCTTGTCTGACTGTACCGCATCCGAATGGGTTTTGTGCCATTTGTTAACTTAAATGCAAAGGTGTACACTTGCAATGGGTTACCGTTCCCTGCAACGCTGGTTAACGGGATGTGAACGCTGGACTGAGCGGAACTTGATGCTCATGCAAGTAACTATTGATTACATCGTTTATAATACTAACGTTTCAGTCACTCGTTCGGTGACAGTGTTCCATGACGTGGTGAGTTTTCGCCGGATAAGCGTTTTTCCTATGAAAAGCCCCAAATGTCTGTTTAACAGCACTGGGACGTGGCGGATGTGACGTCACTAAAAACCTCACTGCCCCTTGCGTTACCTCGGTGGAGCGTTGTATTCCGTAGGCCTGGTGCTAGCCCCATGGGCAGGATTGGACCCCTGTTTGTCAACCAACCAAATGAAAGTCATATATAGACTGAGTATTCGGTTACTGACTCCCAATGGGTGCGATTCTCTGACTTCGCTCTGTTGCCTTGCGGGTAGGTTACTCAGCCAAAGGCTCGATGTGGTGTCCTCTAAAACAACTTTCTACTTCGACTTGGGCAACCGGGTAGTATTGCCCCCACTTATAAAACCGTGGATTGACCTGTACTGTTTTCGGCTTCCTTTTCTTGACAACTGTACCCACCATTTTTTCCATAGTTTTTGATAGCGTCGTGTCTATCCGTAGACTGTTGCTCTCTCTTTCTATATATATATATATATATATCCTTTCGTCAGCTCTTCACCGAAAAACGTGCAGCTGCAGGAACAGCATCCCCCTGTTTCTAGCCGCTTAGGCTGTTAACTGGATTGTTTTGTGTTTTATGTATGGGTTCTCTCGCAGCGGTGAATCCGTTCCCCTTCCTCTAATATTAGGCACTGGTCTTTTGAAGTAACTAGTGTTTCAGTTACAACTGTTACAGTTCATCTATATCCTCTTATGGGAATTTATGCTACAGTCAATATGTATTGTTCCTTAACTCCCCCTCTCAGACCTTTGTTTCATTGCAAGCGTTTGCGGACGGTATCAATGTCGCAGCAAAATACATGATTTCTGAGCGCAAGGTAAGCAGTCTTATGTCCTTTTTTAGCAAGTGGTCTCTTGCTCATGGTCACATATCCAATGCTAACGTTTTCCGTGCTCTCGGCATTTATCCGCTGGTTCAAACAAATGATACGCATTGACTAGCGTTTCACATAGCCCTCATCCTGGCCTGTTTTGTCTCATTTGCGATACAGAAACGCTTGAAAATTGTGGCACTATCCGTAACATACCGTTGAATACCGCTACGTTTGCGATCCGCGCGCAACCTCTGTGTCTTTTTTTCCTTTTTTTCCTTACTTCGTCACATCAAGACGAACCATAACGTCTTACATGTAATTTAACCTTTCCCAATCGACTATAAAAGTTGCAATTCTGTCTGATAAAAGCGTTACGTTTTTTCATTTTAACTGTGTCTTTTGTCTCTTGCCATCCACTCCTGCATTTTAGGCGGTTTTATTTTGCATGTTATTATGTTCACAGGCAGGTACTCCTCATTCTCACGCTCTCTGTAAGGCAGTTTCCGTTTTAACCAACACACTGTCATTAGCATTGTCGGGCCGACTTTTGCTACCCCTTCGTTTCCGTCACACCTAATGGTAACCTCTTTTGCCTCAGGTGCCTTCAATTCTTCGAGCTCTGTTGTCCGAGAAACATTTCCGCATGTAGTGGCATCAGTGTGTCTACAATGACGAGGTACACAGACGGGTATTAAGTGGTAATGATTAGACTAGTTGAGTTACAAAATAATGAATAATAACACGCTGCGTTGTGTAGAGACGACCTGTTAACTATGTCGATTGCCTGTTTTCCGACTTGTCCGTCTAATCAATCTACGGTCGCGGAAGGTTCAAAGCGAGCAACCACTGACTCCGTAACGGGAGACGCGGTCGCAGGCCACTTGTTTGCATACTGCTGGTTCGTCGAATTTGCTAGTTTGGTGTCTGATCGGCCTTTGCTGCGTTTTGGTCCAGACTTTACAAATGATATAAGGTCGGTATTTGTACTGCGTTTGCCATCTGATCGGTTGTTTGTTTAGAGTTGTAAAAAACTGCTTCCTCATTGCTTTCTCATTTTCACACTTTAGTCAGGTGCTTCTGACTATGCGAAATTTGTTTTCTGTGAACGCTTGCAAGCTTATTGTTAATTGGCTCATTTAACTTCCTCGTTGGCTCCCTATTTATACCCCTCATAATTTCTTCTCAGTGTAGAGACTTTCAGCGACGAACCACCGGCACGAATTGCTGACGGTTATCTCACCAGAATTTTGTGACTATATCTAACTGCTTGTTTCTTTGTCGTACAGAAAATCCGCAATAATCTTCCACAAACCTGTCGACCGATGCATTTGCTGGTGCGCGTGGAGGAGGTCTGGGACCGGATGATGCAACACTTTGAGTTGCATTCGAAGTTCATTGTGCACTTCGTTAAGCTGATTCCAGGTGTGTGATCCATTGCTTTAGCGCTGGCCGCATCTTTCTCCCTATTTCGACTATCTTAATATGATATTGTGTACTTCTCTGCGTCTTTTTTCGTCGTGTATCCATAATTTGAACGCTATCTGCCTGTACACAGCGCTTTTGAAATCAGCATTTTCAGTCATAACATATTCTAATACCGGATCAAACCCGAGCCATTTCAACCTCGGCCTTTCGATCGAAGTGGCATCTGTACTTAATCCCACCACACTGACTGCTTCAAAGCTATAGGGTTTCTTCGCAGCCTATCTGCAACCGACCATTAATTCATTGAAGTTCATTGTATTGCGTACACTGGACACGACCTACAAGGTGGGAATCTGATTCCTTTTGAGTGACTTCTGGACTTAGAGTGTGCTGATGACATTGCCCTGATCTGTGACAGCTCTCAAATGACAGATTCACACTGGCTGTCAATTGTTTTAGGCTGTGTTTTGCACCCTCGAAAAGCAAACACTCTCCAACACTGGTAGGGACCCGCTCCTGCTCTGACCCTTGGTTGTGATCGTTCAATAATTTAAGTACTTAGCTATATTAGCACCTGTGAAGTAGGAAATGGTATCGTCAACCGTATAGCGAAAGCTCGAGACGCTTTTGCAAAACTTCGCCACCTGTGAAGGCGTCACCTCACTGTCGCTCTGAAGGGCAGAGGTTACAACGCAGTCGTGCGTTTAACCATACTTTACGGTTGCGGAACCTGGCCCATCAGGTCGACAGGCATAAAGAGACTAGCTACGTTTGACCATCGCTGCCTTCGTACTTTAGCTCATCTGATGAGAACACCTTGTGAGCAGTAAGCGTGTTCCGTGTCGCATATATGGTGCAGCAAGTGCGATTGAACGGCTCAGCAGCGTTATGTCGCGTATCAGGCTTCGATGGTTCGGCGTGTTGCGCATGCCAGTATACCGACTCCTGCGACGTGTGTGGTTTGCGCGCTGGGGATGTGTAGAGACGAAGATGAGGGAACCCGAACGATGACCTGGCCTAGAGGAATGAAGATCCAAAGCCTTAAGGATCACAAGACTGCCTTGTAATCCGAATTGTGCGGGTTCGAGCCTGCATAGGGACCGAGCGACCCTCACAGTATCCTTAGCCCATGTGCAACTTGTGGAGGTTACGCGGCAGCGAGGCGTCGGTACTGCGTACCGGCGTACTGCTGATACCTTTTTCGCCTATGAAAGCCTTCACTTCGAATTAGGCGTCGGTTGGTGTCTGCCGACTTCCGTGTTGGGGTCCCAAGCTCGATGAACACGTTTGGTTGGATACGCTACTTGACAAGGCGAAGAACCGACCCAAGTGGCGTTTGTGTTGTGCGTTTCTTTGCCCCTTCCCACTTATCTACCCCCCTTGGAGTGCATCCCAGTTAATTCGGTCACCTGGACTTTATCTGAAGGAAATCAGTGCTAATAAGCCCTACAGAGCTTATTGCACCCGGAACGCCTTCGGTGACTCCGAAATGTACTCCGGTTGCCCCAGTATATGTTGTTTTCCACTACTTCGCACACTTGTGTTCATCTTCGAGGTGATCTATTAATAACATGGCAGATGCGTATGAATAACGCCAACGAATTGCTTAGTCAGGTTGAAACCTGTCGTCTTCTTTTTCGGATCAGCCATATCAGTGGCTGGATACTCTATCCATATGGCACAGTCGCAAATTGAGTGGCACGCTTGCCTTCAACTTCTAATCTATAACCTATAACTGCTCCATGGGGTTTTTGGCTTGTTCATTGTACTGTTGTAAATATTTTACTGTCTGTTATACACCTTTTAGTCTTTGAAAAAGTCGGAGATAAGCAATTTGTCCTACCAATTGCACCGCCGCCAAGCTATATTGCCATACCCCTTGTCGAACCAATGTGACTTGACTGGTCCAAATTTTCAACACTTCAGTGGTACAAACCGAGAACACAGTAATTTCACTTCATCTCCTATAATAGTTCAGCAGTCTTCTACAGATGCGGCTTGCGACAGAGACCAATCCATTTGGCTCACGGCTTGAGTTAGGACGTCAAGGTCACTTTTTCAGTAGTTGTAAGCTGACTCCAGCGGACGAGATTACGATCAAGTCCATGAACTGTGCACCAACTTCATAATGTCCGAGCATGTGTTGAACCTTCAGGTCAGTGTACTCGGGGACATTTGAACTTTCCCATTAGTCGGAAGCCGGGACGCCTCATGTGGCTTCGGGGATTTGACAGCCAATCCAAGCAGCTGTTCAGTGGACTGCGATAAACTGCATCCACCAGCAGTTCACCGCACCTGAAGTGAATCGAGCCACACAACTGCTCACGCAGGCCATTGTCGCTGCTGTAAATACTCACAAGCCTTCCACACAGAGAAGACCGGATGTGGATCAAGACGCCACTGCGGCCAATCGATGGTATCTCGCATCGGGAGCATCAGTATCAAATGGGCTCGCTTTCCTAGGCAATCATCTCAGAATTCGGCCACATCTCTGCGAGTCCCACTGCGGTTGGTCGCTCAGATGCAACGAAACGACAGCTCATCGCGCTTGTTTATAAGACTAAACATTGGTAAAGGCTGCACGCAAGCCGCAGCAGGAACCCCCGGGCTTGGAAATGACCCGAAACATTACGATACTGAGATTTGTTTCCCTATCACCATGTTTCTTCAACCCAGTGATGGCAGACTTCAGCCATTCTAGGTCCAATGGATCCAAGTCTGGACTAACATGGATCTACAATCTTTTCAGCTTGTTTAGACGGGATAACATTAGCCTCCACAAAGGCCGATCCTTTGCCGAAAGAATCACAAACCTGCCTGGTAATCCGGATGTCGTGGGTTCGAGACTGCGTAGGGTACCGGACGGCCCTTGCAGTATCCTCAGCCCACACGCGACTGGTGGTGGTGGCTTTACAGCGAAGCGTCGGTGCAATGTGCCTGCGTATTACTTATGCCTCGCTCACATCTTTCTTTTCAATACAGCTAATTTGCCTCACTTTCAACCCCTGCTCACTCACGTCTAGGAATCTATCTGTGAAGAGTAGCACCACTAAGGCGTTCAGTTCAGTTCAGATCAGTTAATCAACTATGACCCGAGCACCGAAGTGCGGTGGATCCAGTTGCCACGACTCACACATATATACATATATATATATATATACATATATATATATTCACAATCTATTTACAGCTAATGTACCATCAGAACCATGGCGTAATAAAAGGGGGAAACGAAATACATGTGGAGAAAACGATTTTTTCGGATTTACTCACACCGTTTTGAGATTTTTTGTGTGTTTTGGAGTTTAATGTTCAATGCGATGTTAACTAGTAGATAACACCGATAAACAGCACTGTCTCCACTGATGCCTGTTGCGCGGCATCACCTCCAACCTTTCCAACCACTGGCAGTCCGAATCACCTGGTCCCCATTTTGGGAAACCGACCGGTCCGGCGGATGCTAAGCTTGAAGTTACATTCTTCATGCTCCTTCTCCACCTCGTTGCTTATTCACCGCGACGCCTTTTCCAGTCACTTCCGGGAGCGCAAACGACGCTCGACGGGGAAGGCGATAGGCTGGCATGCGCAATACCTGGCCATACCAACGCATGCGGTGTCGGAGGATAACCCTTTGGATGCATGGGCTGTTTACTTCAAACACGCTCTCGGGCTTTGCGTTGCTCACGTGATACAGCCACCACACGCGAGCAATCTTACGCAGACAACGATGGTCGAAAACTGACAATCGTTTTATGTCTTCCGAGCAAGTCGACCAGGTCTCACAACCGTACAAGAAAACCGCACGAACATAAGCAATATACACCCTGCCCTTGAGTTTGAGACTGATGTCGCGACGATGCTAGAAGTGTCTCAGTCTGATGAATGCAAGGCGGGCCTTTGCGATCCGTTGTGAGAAATCATCTCCAATACAACCGTAGGAATAACTAAATAACGACAAGATAGAGGGACTAAAGGCAAATAGAACGTGAAGAAATGGAAGCAAGAACGAAGTGCATTAAATTAATCAGAATGAAACGAAAATTAACAACCAGATGCAAGAACGCCACTGACTCCGCGACTGCGCCATGCCTGATACGGTCTCTAACCACTGGTGTAGACCATCCCGAAGCTACCATCCACGAAGACGGCACGCACCAGCCTGACAAAGTCTCTCAGACAATTTATTCATGCCTCTATGCCACGTCATGGACTGGCCACCCCGCGGTTTCGCCCAACTTGGTGCAGCCACGGCGTATAACGCACGCCGAGGAAGCCGATCAACGGGCATACGGAAGACATGGCCCAGCCAACGTAAACGATTAAGATGTAGCAAACACTCGAGTGAGGCACCAGGAGGTACTTTTTGCTAAAATACCAACTGGCGGACCTCGACATTGCTCGCCCGGTGTTCCCACCAGACGTGAACAGTACTCCGCAAGCACCGGTGGTCAAACACGGCCGTGAACTGGCCAGGTCACCTGGCAAAACATCTATTCCGGTTGCTTCTGAAGGAACGGAGTTGCTCATGATCATTTCGATGCCAAAGTTGGAAAGGAAAAGAGATATAGGACTACCCCGGCAAATCCCACTTTTAGTGGGGGGACTCAGGGGCGAGTTTCCCGTAGACTATTACACGGCGTCACGTGTCATGACAGAGAGACTGCATAATGCAAAGGAATTTGGCCGGCACGTTCTTCATCGATAGGCAGTGCCACAAGCCGGCTCGATCAATAGAGTCGAAGGCGGCTTTCGAGCCAAGAAAAGCTGTCATAATCGGTCGTCTGTATGTGTGCCTCTGCTCTAAAATTTGGCGGAAACTAAATATGTGGTCGATGCAACCGCGACCAGAGTGGAAACCTGCTTGGTTTTCAGTGATTCGGTTCTCACAACGACTAGGAAATCGTTTGAGCATGATACTCGTGAGAAGTTTATAGGCAACGGAAACTGGACTAATGCCCCGATGATTTTCGCCCAAAGAACGCTGACCGTTCTTGATG